CTTCTGGTTTTGTCCTGTCATCTGCCTCCACGGTAACGACCCTTTTTCTGGTTTTTTGGCTCACGTCTCTGGTCTCTCCCCTGAACGGCACTTTCCTCCATCGGACTTCCTGGAACACGATCCACGCCTGTCTCACGGTAAATGGAACCTTGCCTCCTCCTCTCAACTCGGATTTAATCTGTGGACTCCTGTGTATGATCCCTGCCTGCCCAGCGACTCTGTCTTTGCATCACGGAACCCAATTCAAAACACAAACAAACGGTGACGTCATCGCCCCGCTCCAGAACCAAAGCGCCTTCGTCTCAGTTGCTTCACGGACTCATTCAGCGGAGAACAGGTTAGTGGCTTCGGTTAATTTCAATAATTATTACCAGCTCTGTCCAGCCACTAATCCTGTTTCTCTGTGTCTAGAACTGACTGACCCGGATCTACCTACTAACCAAAGAAATATCCAGTTTGTGTTTAATAAATGGTTAAATCTTTCTCTGTGGTCCGGCAATTTATCAGAGCTCAACCTTAACAGCGTAACATATTCTGTTTGTTATCTGATTAACAAGAAGAAAATGTCTCTTTACTGTTTAAGAAAACCTGTAATGACTTTAAATTGAACAGAGGTCTGTCTCTCTGATGGAAGCCTTGCCCGAGTTCTTTGTTCTTCCGTTTGCTGACCTGGCACCGAGGTGAAATATAACAGACAGTACTTAAAAGTTCAAACCCACCTTTATTAAATGTAATTATAAAAGTTCAATAAAATACAGAATTATTAAAGCATAAATGCGCATTTAGGAGGGAAGCCAGGTACAACATGATGGAGTGCTCTCAGCAGCGTTATAAGCAGCTGGATGGCTTCTCTCTTGCTTCTGGCTGAAGGAGGAAAAGGCAGCATCTCTTCACACACAGCTTTTGTCTATCTAATGGGGTGAGGGTTGACCCCTGACCTAGTCTCTGGCTAGGAACAAGAACTGCCCTTCCCCCAAACTTACTTGCTGCTGCTTTGCAGGCTAAAGATGTCACTCTGTCTTTTAACACACTCAAAGTTTAACAAGTAAATAAAGTAATAAAACAGTTAATAATTCAACTGATTAAAAATATTAATAAGTAAGCATATAAGCTGATGAATATCCTGATTAGTAAACTGATAACAAAAGTAAATATAAAATTGCATATCTCAACAAGACCAAGGTCAAAGACAGGTGGAACTGTTTATTCCACCCGTAGGTGACCACTACACATCATGATCAATCCCCACAAAAACAAACAAAAAAAAAAAAAAACAACTGGACTTCTATTCAGAAGCTGGAGGCTTGCGGATAGAAGTCTAGGGCACTTTCTCAGTTCAAAATGTGTGGAGTGTGTTGAGTTCCAAACTTTCAGCTAGCTTTATACTTCAATGCAATGTGAGACAGACAATCAGTAAATACATATTTTCGGAATTTTTTTTCTGACCGAGTACAAATGTGTTGAAGTCGTGAAAGTGGATCAGTTATCTACCACTGTTGCGTTGGATCAGGAGTCTGAGGAGGAAAACCTGTTCTTTTTTGATGGTGGAGGTGGAAAGAAGGCATATGAACATTGGCATGCTCACATGCTCAATAGGATCAGACTAGCTGCTCATCAAAGCTGTACTGTATATTCCATGTCAAAAATGTACTGCATGTGCTGTCTAGAATTAAAAGCCAAAGCAAAAAGTTAAGTCTTTGAAAGACATTTAAAATCATTAAGCGATCTGGCACACCTCACAGAAGGAAGAAACTTGTTCCAGAGTTTAGAAGCTACGGCTGAGAAGGCGTAGCTTCTTTAGTCACCAGCCAAGTCCTGGGAACCACCAACAGCATCTGATCTTCAGATCTCAGAGCTCTACCGGGATGGTAGCGATGTAGAACATCAGACAGATAAGGAGGTGCCAAAACCATTTAGACATTTAAAAACCAAAAGTAGAACTTTAAAATCAATCCTAAAAGGAACAGGCAGCCAATGAAGAGAGCCTAGAACAGGAGTAATATGTTCACACCGTCTTGTCTCCATTAACAAACGCGCTGCTGAATTTTGGACCAGTTGGAGACGGTTGAGAAGAGACTGGTTAATTCCACTTTAAAGTGAATTGCAGTAGTCCAGTCTAGAAAAGATAATAGCATGAATAACCTTCATAAAGTCATCGTAGGGAAGGTAAGGCTTAACTTTACATTTGACCACTGCACTGACCTGTCTGTCAAATTTAAAAATGTTGTCCAAAATTACCCCAAGATTCCTAATAAAAAACCCAGTCTGAGTCCAAAGGGCCAACAGCACTGTTTAATCCTGCCAGTAGGTCTGATTTTCCAAATCTCAGGTCCTCTGTTTTATCTTCATTTGAACAAAGAAAATTTAGCTCCATCCAGGATTTAACATCCCTTAGACAGTTCTGCAGGTTCTCAGTCCTCTGAGCTCCATTAGATCTCAAAGGCAAATAGATCTGAATGTCATCTGCATTTTTGTAATATTCTGTCTCTCACTGTTAAAATTAACCCACACTTAAAATTTTAAACTGTTCATATCTTTGTAAGTGGTAAACTTACAAAATCAGTAAGGGACCGAATACCCATTTCCCTTACTCTAGAGTCTAGACGTATCTTAGAGGAAGTCACATCCAGTTGGTGAGGTAACTCCAGTCTGACAGGTGAAAAAGCCCATCTTACTCTCATCACACTAGAATCTGGGACTGAGCAGTTGCTGTTATGGTCCTGTCATCTGATCTGCAGCCATATGTTTTGGACACTCGGGTGAAGAGAGGAGCTGAGCTGTCAACTGATCACCACCTGGTAGTGAATTGGATCAGATGGTGGGAAAAGATGCCGGACAGACACAGCAGACCCACATGTGTAGTGAGGGTTTGCTGGGAATACCTGGCAGAAGAACCCATCAGACAGACCTTTAACTCACACCTCCGAGAGAACTTCACTTACATTCCAGCCGGGGTGGGAGACATTGAGTCCAGGTGGGCCATGTTCCACACCCCAATTGTTGAAGTAGCTGCTTTGAGCTGAGGGCGCAAGGTTGTCTGTGGTTTTTGCTATGGCCAGCCTTGAACTTCGTGGTGGACATCTTTGGTAAGGGAGGACGTCAAGCAGAAGGAGTCCTATATAGTCTTGTTGACTGGTAGGACTCCAGAGGCAGCTGAGTAGTATGGTCAGGCCAAGTGGGCCACAGCCCTGGCCATTGCTGAGGCAAAAGCTTGGATGTGGGAGAAGTTCAATGAGACTTTGGACAAAAACCTTTGATTGACTATGAGGAGATTCTGGCAAACCATCCGGAGGCTGAGGCAAAGGAAGCAGCACTTCACTAACACTGTGCTCAGAAAAGGTGGGGTGCTGTTGACCTCAGTCAAGGATGTATTCAGGAGGTGGAAGGAATACTTCTCAGACCTTCTCAATCCCACCGACATAGCTTCAATAGAGGCAGCAGAGTTTGAGGACTTTGGGGCTGGTCTGTCCATAACTGCGGCTGACGTTGCTGAGGCAGTTAAAAGCTCAATGGTGACTAGGCTTCATGGAAGGATGAGATCTGCACTGATTTCCTCAAGGCTCTGAATGTTTTGGGGTTGTCTTGGTTGACATGCCTTTGCAACATTGTGTGGACACCAGGGGCAGTGCCACTGGAATGGCAGACTGGGGGGATGGATTATCTTTTCAAGAAGGGAGACAGGAGGGTGTGCACCTGTTGTGGAATACTTATTTCTGTATCACCTTGACACTGTCCACTTGTTCATATCTTGTGATATCCCTGGACGTCATCATCGAGTTGACCTATTTCCGTGTATCAGGATGGGCAGGTTGTGATTGGTTGTTCGTTATCACATGGTGATAGCTGAAGGTATAACAGTTCTCTTCCGCCCTCAGTCGGGGGYCCACATCTAACAGACTTCTTTGATTGTTTTCTGTTTCATGTCTGCTCCATAATAAATTACTTTACGAACATACCCCGCAAGACTATTTGTCCTTTTAACACCCTTTTGCCGTGTTTTTGAGCATCTTCCCGCAACAGTTGGCGTCACAATTACGGAAGCCTGCAGGGGCCGGAGCGGCGCGCGCGGCAGCGGTCTGTTTTGTTTCGGATGATACAGCAAACATGGCGGCGACCTCATGCCTCACGGAGGCTTTTGTCTGCTCCGTGTTTTTGTGGATCCGTCATGCGGGCGGCTGCTGCGGGGTTGCGCTCCGGCACCGGGGCTGAAAAAGAACCTGTCTGGACGGAAGCACGGTGAGCCAAACAACTTTACGCTGTCGGTAATAAATAAATAATTAATTAAATAAGCGAAAAGTGCTAAAGCTAATTTTTTTTTCTCTCAAGCTTAGCACACACTAAAAATCAGGTGCCTGTTCTGTGTGCGCTCGAGGGCTGACTGATTTCTTAACCGAGGGTAGGTGTGGGAGCGATTCATTCCGCACCGAGTTTCAAAACAGGGAGGTTTTAATTTCTTTTGTTTTGAGCTAGCCAGGAGAGAGTTTAGCTCGAACCTGGTTAGTTAACAGTTAGCTCAGGCTAGCTGTTGGGAGAAAGTCGGTTTCTCCATTTTTTCTGTTTTCAGGAGAAAACAGGGTAGGTTAGGGAGCTCAGTTTGGGATAAGGCGGCCGCCGAAAACTACGTTTAAGGAGGTTTTTTTTACATAAGTGCAGAGTTAGCACGACTGAGAGTGTTGGGACACCGTTCGTCCGCCACTCAGTCCTCGGGGAGCGCTGGACAGCCCTTACGCTAAAAGCTATGGATCCGCYATGGGCCACAACGGGTGAGCTAACGTTTCCATTAGCACGCTATGCTAAATAKCTACGGCAAATATTTCAGGCCACACACATTGAAATTATAAATTTTAGACGCTGGTCTGGTCTTTCTGAGGCTGTAATGACAATTACAGGGCAGAGATGTCCGAGTTTACAGCCGCAGAATGAGACCAGATAAGTTTTCATTTCTAGACCACGCTAACACATAAACAAAGATGGCAGCAAGGAACGTTGTGTCTGCGGGTATGTGACGTCTGGTTGGTTTTTCCTGGGGACCAACGTGATTCAATAGTTAAAATCAATAACTGATAAAAGTTTGTCTGTCCGTGAATCATTTTTACTAATAACTAATGTTTATTGGAGCGTATTTTGGGCACTGCTGTGTTTTCAGCCGCGCGCGCTCTCCTCCTTAGCAGGGGCGGCTGTGTGGGGTTCTGACCGAGGGCCCCGGTCGGTTTTCCCCTCTCTGCCGCAAGCTTTGTTTTGAAAAGGATTGTGTGCGGTGCGTGCGGGCAGCAGAAAGGCCGTTTTATTTATTTCCTGCTCCATTAGAACCCTTGACTTGCATGAAAACAAATGTGTTTTACTGACTAACTCAGGGTGAAATGTGAAAATTATTTCATTTGAAGACAAAGAAGTGAAACTTAAATTTATGAAACTTTTGGGAAATGTTATGTGCTGAAATGATTTTTTTTCCCTCATTTGTTTTTTTTTCTTTTTTTTTAAATGGTTCAGCCAGTGCTTTTATTTCAAAATTGTGATTAAGATCATTCTC